CAAGAAGGGTAATGCTCATGTGGCCGTGAATACTGATTCAGCATCCTCGTCTGGCACAAGAGGCACATTCTTAGAGACCWTAGCTGCAGTTCGGGCTGCCCTTATACAGTTGGAAAAGGAAGTTGGGAACTCAACTCAGCCACTGCAGTCACCATTAGCCCCTGCCACATCTGCTTTCGCACATTCAGGTACTCGAGCCTCAGCCTACCATGCCTCAGCTCCAGGTACTACTGAGGCATTTGGTTGTACCTGTTTTGTTCAGCTTCTCGGACCCCATCACTCCAAGTTCGAACCAAAGGCCTCCAAATGCATTTTTCTTGGTTATACACAAACTCAAAAGGGTTATTGCTGCTATAATCCTGTCTCAGGGAAAAGATTTGTCTCCATGGATGTCACTTTCTTTGAGGAGACACCCTATTATTCTCGGGTTTCTCCTCAGGGGGAGAGCAGTNTGATACCATGTTTTCTCTGTTGCTACAGTAGTCCGAACTAGTAGAAGAGGAGAAGAAGAAGAAAAAGAAGATGAAAGAACAATCGAACATAATAGGTTAAACCCTATTAGCCGACCCTTAATATTGATTAGGCTCTAATTAGTAGTATAAAGACTAAACTGTCCCCACTTAAGTATGGGACAGGAAGTCTCTATAAAAACTGCGACATAAGCACATAACCTAACAGAAGTCAACTGACTAATCTACCCTTGTTCGGCTAGCTCTAACAGGACAAATAAATTACAAGCTGGTCTCCTCCATCCGAAGGCTCACTGAAGTTGAACTTTGATAGAAGTAGCATGGGTGCAATTTGCAAACCAGATGGGGGTACAACACCTAACAATCGAGGGGGATTCCAAAGTGGTGGTGGGTTGGTTGAAAAATNCTTTCTTCAGGGGGAGCGCAGTGAGGGTAGGGTTCATACTTTTGGGGCTGTTCCCTTACCTATTCCATTGGGTGATGAGGGCTACCATAGTGAGGATGGTCAGAGGGATCAGGAGTTGAGGGTCTATCATAGGCGATGCAGGCAGGTTGATCCCGGTCATCAGTAGTCCAGGCCAACTCCAATCTCTTCTGCGGCTCCAAGTCCAAGTATTACAGTCCCAGGGCCCACAGAGACCTCTTCCACTATTGCCACTTCACCTCCTCCAAATGACCTTGACCTTCCCATTGCCGTCTATAAGGGGAAACGACATTGTACCACATGTACAGCCTACTGTGTTTCCCAGTTTTTATCCTATGATCGCCTATCTCCCTCCTACAGGTCCTATCTCACTTCCGTTGCTAATGTCCCTATTCCAAGAACAGTGCAAGAA